TTTCTAGTGAAGAGAAAGAGAAAAGAGTCCAGTAAAGAAAAGTCTTATTTCATCACTGAATGAACATGAAGAACTGAAGCGGACACAGCAGGAACAACACTTGTGTCTTCTTCTGGATGAAGCCCGTGAGACAAGGGACACACAGATACACAATCATTAGTTGGACGCAGTAGTTTTTATTTTTATACATTTTTCACTTCTTACTTTTCCTATTAAACATTTTTTTCTTAAGTGGTGTCCTTGAACATTAAACTTCCTAAACAAATTTTACAATGTTAAGTTCATATAGTGTTTGTTTAAATTCATACTGGAATTGAGAAGAATTTCCAGTTGCATTTGATCTTTAATGGATCCTAAGAAAAGATTACCAGAATCTGCTCAACTGTTATTATGTTATAAAGTTTTGTTCTAGGATGAAGTGAGACAAAAACAGTCAAAAATTCAGAAAAGACAGTTATCAGTTATCATTGATCAGTTATCTGTTATCAGTTATCATTGATCAGTTATCAGTTATCGGCCGTACAACTGTGGCCCGAGAGATTCAGCTGAAAGTCCTGGTGCACCTTTTATTTGAACCTGCAGAGATTTGAACAGCTGATCTGAAGCAAACAGGCAGGAGTTCACCTGAACTGACCACTCCTGCTGTGGTTGATGCTCTCCTCCCTCACTATACATCCATCCATCCATCATCCATCCATCATCCATCCATCCATCCATCCATCCATCCATCCATCATCCATCCATCCATCATCTTCTGCTTCCGGGTCGTGGGGGCAGCATCTTTACCAGGGAGGCACAGACACCAACAGCCTCCTCTTCAGCTCTTCTAGGACCCCATGGTGTTCACAGACCAACTGACTATTTATTAAGTAATACTTTTGTGTTTTTAAATTTAATGAAAGACAAACCTTTAAAATTTAAGGACAAAATTTAATCTAATTGTTTTCAAGTCTTATTGTAAAAGCAGTTTCAAAGATTACAGCCCAGTGTGATGTTTTGTAATTTTAACATGAACCTTGTGCATATCTGTAAATAATAAAAGTGAAGATATTTTTAATACTTTATTGTAAAAATCCAAACTAAAATGTAAAACACATGGGTTTAAAGCAGGGAAGGCAGTAAGGTAGGATTATGAATCAGGTTTAAAAGTTACAGCTCCATCAGAGCATGACGTCTCTTCCACGACATCCTGTGACGAAGTCTTCAGGGTGTTCTTCTTCTAATACATTTAGTGGTGGCTAGTAAGTAGCTTAAGGGAGCACTACTGCCACCAGGTGGTAAGACCAGTGGATTCTAGTCCCCGCCTACAGAACTGGTCCACAAGTGTAAATGGAAACACGACGACACCCGAGCCGATCTGATCCGCACCGTGACGGTGGAAAAGGGGCGAATGAATCCTGGCAGCGTTGGTTTGTTGCATGTAGCAGCACCACAGCAGGATTGTCTGACCATGTTTTGTCCAGAGGACATTTGGCCTGTCTACATGGACAGCTGCAGGTTTCAGTCCAACCTGAAGGTGGTATTACTGGTACTTAACCAAGCATCAAGTTAAGCCCAAACCCATTCAAAACTCAAACGTTTGAAGGTACCACAGCAAAGTAAAGCCTGTGTCTCAGTGAGGTGCAACTGTTGGAGACAAAATTACGATTTTAAAAACAATTTCCCGTGGAATCCCACTGAAGAAGTACTTGTGACACTTACATCTGTACAGAACCACCACTAAACAGCAGCGTCTCTGGTGAGCGGGTTGTTGAACTGACTGAACTCCATGATTTCTGTCACTGCAGGTCAGAAGTTCACCGTGGAGGAAGCTGTGGAAACCATCGGCTTCGGACGCTTTCACATCCTGCTGTTTGTCATAATGGGTGCCACCAGCGTGAGTTTGGTTCTGCAACACAGTGACTGCAGGTGTGAGTGATCTCAGAAACCTGAGGTTTGTATGTTTGTGTGTAGATTGTGGAGGCCATGGAGATCATGCTTTTGGCTGTGGCTTCTCCAGAAATCCGATGTGAGTGGCGTCTGGAAGATTGGCAGGTGGCTCTCGTCTCCACGGTGAGTTTCTGATTGCCAGACTGTTCTTGAGCTCATCACTAGGTTTCCACAATAACAAATAAAATGGGATGAACCTTCAGTGATGTTAGTTCAAGGATCATTGAGTCATTCAGCCTTTTTTTTATTCAGGTTAGTCTCATTGAGTCACGAGGACTCGATTTCAAGAGAGACCTGTTTCAGACAAAACCACAGATCAGGTACGCACAACAATAAAATGCATATAAAATGAAAATTAAATAAAAGTAGTGATGTAAACCAAAATAAAATCAAGCTACATTATGAAACAATGTAAAAAATACTAAAAACAGGAACATTGATTTAACGGTCTTTAGATCAGCAGCCCCCGTTTAATGATGGTCTCCTTTTAGACACAGGATTCATGTAGGCTAGGATGGATGGATGGATGGATGGATGGTTGGTTGGATGGATGGTTGGTTGGTTGGTTGGTTGCTTGCTTGCTTGCATGCTTGCTTGCTTCTGGTCTCATGCTACTGTATTCATTCGTACCCATCTGCTCACCATGGACTCATGTTCGGGCTGCTGTTGTTACGCCCTAATGTTTTACCATGTTGTTTTACATTATTAGTGTTCAGCGTTTATCTTAGTTTATATCTCAGATCCTTATATACTGTTTCTTTTTACACTTTATATTTTTGCTATTGGGTATAACTGGGACCCTGAGTACATAATGTGTTCCGCCTCATGTACCACGTGATGCAAATGGCAATAAAATTGACTTGAACTTAGATGGAATGATGGATGAATGATTGGATGCATGGTTGGATGATTGGATGCATGATTGGTTGGATGGATGGATTTCCAACAACTGTTAAGTTCATGGCAAAAACCATTGCAGACATGTTCCTGTTAGTATTCTACATCACTATAATGTAGCTGATTTTGTTTAGTTTTTATTACATTTCTTCTATTTACTTCTCATTTTATATCCTTTTTATGATCGTCTACTCTTGTCTGTACCTCATCTGTGTTCTTTATTAAAACAGGTCTCTCTTTAAATGAGTCCTAGAGGCTCAATGAAACTAACCTGTAGAAATAAAAATTGAACTGAATGGATGGATGGTTTGATGATTGGATGGATGGATGGATGGATGGATGGATGGATGGTTTGATGGATAGTTGAATTGATTAGATGCATGTTTGAATGGATAATTTGTTAATTGGATGGATGGATGGATGGATGCAGGGTTGGATGGATGGATGAATGGGTTGATGGATAGATGGTTGAGTTGATGATTGGATGCATGAGTGGATGCATGTTTGGATGGATAATTGATTAATTGGATGGATGGATGCATGCATGTATGGTCGGATAGATGGATGGTTGGTTAATTGATTAGTTTGATTGATGGATGGATGGTTTGGATGGTGGTTTGATGGTTGGATGCAAGTTTGAATGGTTAGATCAATGGGTCGATGGATGATTGGATGGATGGATGGATGGATGAATGCATGGATGGATGGATGGATGTTGGATTGATGGTTTGATGATCAGATGCATGGATGATAGATGGTTGGATGCATGGTTGGATGAATGGTTTGATGGATGGTTGAATTGATAGTTGGATGCATGATTGGATGCATGTTTGGATAGATAATTGGTTAATTGGGTGGGTGGAT